TAACAAATTTCATCCGATCCACTCGAAATTTTTATAGCAGCTGCTAAACTAAATTCTCCAGAGAAGTACACATGATTTTGACGATCGGTTTAAAACTTTTGTTACTATAAATATCTTTTCACTGAATTTCTTGAATAAAACAAACTTTTTTCCTGATGTTCAACATTTCTACAAAAATCAATATTTTAACATACGCGTGTGTTCGCTAGCAAATTTAATGTAGATTACCAAAAATTTTGCCTTTTTGTCCTTTTTGAAAGTGTTGAAAACACGGCATTTCTGCTGCAAGCCGCGAGGATCCATGAGAAAAATGCGCTTTTACTTGGAGAGCTTCAGCGTCGCCATCTTGAGGCAAAATAATAACGAAAAATTGTTTTGTGTAGTTTAAGGTATGCAAGGTTAGAGGCCTTCAAACCAATTTCCCATCTGTGTTGTTATTTAACTAGAAAAAATTCCCAAACTTACTCTGTGTTTCCAGGCGTTCACTCGGATGTTAATCCGAGTTTAATCAGCCGATTACGTCATCGCGCTCGGCCGAAACACCACGCGAACATGACGAGATCTCGCTCGAAAGCGTTCAGCACGCGAGTCGGAAGCGAGTCCGTCCCGAGAAAGGAGCGGAGCTCCCTTTCCTGCGCGCTGCTCGCCTGCCTATCGCGGAATTCCTGCCGCCACTTCGGCAATTTCCCTGCGGACGATGCGCGGGATGCCGTTAGTCGAGTGCGAAGCGGAATCTTCGCGGAAACGCTTCGCGAAGCGACAGTAGTTCCTGCTGAACAATAGTCCTTTTTACTGCGGCTGGAAAGAAGGAAGGCGCGCACCTCGGCAGAGAATTTCTCTACTCTGCCTGCTCCTGCCCCTCCCCCTCCCTTTCTCCGCTCTCTTTTCCCCCTTTCTCGACTCTTTCTCTCCTTTGGTCGCGAGAGTTTCTGTTCTATTGCCCGCTGCTGATATGAGTCGCCAGAGAGAGAGAGAGAGAGAGAGAGAGAGAAAGAGAGAGAGAGAGAGAGAGAGAGAGAGAGAGAGAGAGAGGGAGAGAAAGAGATAGAGAGACGTGATCAGAAAAGTGATAAACCTCTTCTTCGTTGATCTTCGCTCCCCCCTTCCGTCTCTTTCTCCCGTCTGTTGTCGCAATGCGCAGCTCCTGCGTGGAGATCCGCGTGCAACGCGCGTCCGACGTTTACCGTCCGTAAGTAAATTAATGACTCCTACAACTGTAACCGCGACGGCAAAGCCCGCCGACGAGTGATTCGGCCGTTCACAGCGCAACAAGATAAACTTCTTACTGAGGCGGCGTTTTTCCGGCGGGGAAGAAGCGCGGAAAGATCGCGCGTTCGCCGGGCCGCGAAGAAGCCGAGCCTCGATTATTCGGATGATCCGCGCTAATCGAGCGAGGTGACGTGAAATCGCTCGCTCGCCCGGCTAATTGAAAGATTCGCCGGGGCGAGCGAGGACGAAGGCGGCAGGACGAGCTCTCTCGGTATCGCCGAGCGGCGATCGGCGCGCGGTTCATCCTGAGACGTGCCGACAAATTGCACAATTCGCAATGTGATGCGATATCAAGCGCGTCGGATAGCGCGCGATGCATCCGCCCGAGTCGGCTGGATCGGTGCGAGCATGGCTGAAACGCAAAAGTCGCAAAAGAGAGAGAGAGAGAAAGTCGGAGACGCGTCGGAAAATTACATAATTAACAATGACACGTGAAGAAACGATGGTGCAATGTCAAGCGCGTCGGAGCGCTCGTCTCTCGCGACGAGTCCGTCTTGATTGGCGGGATCAATGCGAGCGAGACGGAAACGCGAGCAAAGTCGCGCGCGAGGAGAGAGAGAGAGAGAGAGAGAGAGAAAGAGAGAGAAAGAGAGGAACGGTAAAATTCATTCGGACTCCGCGGCAGAGCTTCGACAGCTGTAAAACGTATCCACCGGGACGTACCTGTCCTGATATACGCGAGGCAATAAGAGTACCGCGCGGACGCGCCGCTCGTCGGCTTTTAAGAAATACGTTACTGTTATGCAATAAAGAACGACTTATCCCGCGACGCGCAGGGTGCGTATTGATGCGTGCAACATATGCCGCGCGCCGTGAATCTCCCGGCGGATTTTCATATCAATATCGAGCGGCGCGACTCTCTCTCTCTCTCTCTCTCTCTCTCTCTCTCTCTCTCTCTCTCTCTCTCTCTCTCTTTCTCTCGGCAATTATCATACCGGAGAGAGCGAGAGACGAGACGACGACGTCGGCGCATACATTATCGGTATTACCCACGGATACATACACACAGCTACCCTTCTTCTTTCATGCCGCGCTCCTCTGCCAACTTTCTTAACTGTACCGCCCATTACGATTAAATTTAAATCATGGAACACGGACGTGAGAGAGAGAGAGAGAGGGAGAGAGAGAGAGAGAGAGAGAGAGAGAGAGACTGACAGATACAGAGAGATAGAGACTGACGGAGAGAGGGAGTGAGAGAGAGGCACGCGGGTCGAGATATCGCGGCTCGAGG